CTACATACAACCTACCCTGTTTTTAGAAAAATATAACAACAAGTACATGGTCACTAACGTTTTTATGGGAATACGTGACTATTTAGCGAAATATCGATAATATTTAACAAATAAATAACTCATTAACTTGTAATATGAAATCTAAACACCCAATGTAGCACGAATGTTCTGATAAGAATATAATAAGAATTTTCTTAAACTTACCATAACCTTCTATAAAATCCACAAACTTGTTTCTTATCCGAGTTTTTATGATCACACACAAAACACGTACACTTTTATTTTATATTAAATTATATTTTAAATTAAAAGAAACAACAGACAAACGATACACTTGATTATGACCGCAAAACAATTTTCAAAATCACCAGTTATTTTTATTTGCACTAGAATACACTGATTTTATATTTCTTTTCCAATAACACTATTATTCACAAATTCACGTATTAATAACAATTTAATATTATGAATCAAAACAAAAACCACAGCAGTTCGTGATAATCAACAAAAATAGGTTTTGACATTTGACAGAAGGATTCACCCGAATCACAATGATCCGACCCGTGGATCCCACATCAAAATTATAGAGAAACAAATCTTTGGAAAGGTGAAAGTAGTGCTTATAAATCGTTTTCTTTTTGCCAATGCGTTATAGTTTCGAAAGTTATTAAGTTATTACAATATCATTGTTAAGTTGTTTTTATATTTTTTATGAAATATTTTTTAAATAACAAATTAAAAACAGCTACACGTATACGTACACCTACATAAGTAATCGGCGGCGCACGCGAGCGCGAGCGCAGTCGAAACGAAACAATATTCGCGTAGTGTGCGTGTGTGCGAGCCAGTGCGACAGCAGAGAACAAGAGAACGAAACATGTAACAAACAGTTAATAAATGACCGCGCTTGAACTCGAAGCAGCGCCAATCTGATGACCCACTGCTACTGCTACTGCAACTGGCGGTTTAGTAAAACAATATCAATTGGTTGATAAAGTAACGATATAAACATGCAATAAACATAATAATTATTTAGAAATGGGTATAGGTTTTCATAGATTGTCTTAATTTATTAGTATCGCATAATATACCAATTAATATTAATAACTTACCGTTGTATAAGGTTCTTTGTAAAAAAATCACAATCTGGCTGCACTACTACAACGATGCTCTCCTACCTGAATTTAATTTAGAAATAAAACAATGACACTGTTTTTATCAATAAATAATTACCTAAGTACTTACATACATACTAAGTAACTCATCCGCTTGCTTTATTTATATATGAAATAAATTTCTATAGCGTTAATTTTATGTAAGTACTGAAGCAGCATAAATTATAAATAATTTATAAAAGTAAAGTAGGTAATAATGTGATTATTACAACTTTTTTTATTAGTTGTGTTAATGGTTAGCAAATTAACAATCTTATCGACGAAAAAACTCGAAAATTGGTGAAAAATCCACTTCCACTGGCCACTAACTAAAACTAATATTTTCCCGCCGGCAAATGGCTAATGGCTATCCACTAAGTTGGCAACACTGGCTTCGATGTCAACTGGTTTAACCAAAAGGTTGCAGGTTTTTAATGTTTTGTCATTGTCTATTCGAATCAATGGATATTTTACTATGTTTAAATGCTCAAAATACAACAAGTCGAATTGTTTGCAGAAAAGTCTGTTATAGTATCGGGCATAAGTTATCTGATTCCATTTCTCAACTCAATGTCTGTCTGTCAGTCTGTTTATTTAATCACGGAAAGTATAGCAACACCAAATTAAAGTAAATTTTACGTCATACAGAGCATGTAAGAAGCATGTCACATAAGAAGCGGAACTTAGAACTTTAATTACTGATGATTTTGTAACCAATTTTAGGCAACCTCGTAAAATAAACAAGGCTACCAACATTAAAATTCTAATGAACTGTCAGACATATGGCGGCCGATGCGGGTCACGAATAGATATTCAGATTTCATCGATATCGAAAAAATGGTAGGCCTAAAATACACATACTTAAAGTAAAACACTAGGTACATTTATATGATTTTATTTCACGTTCATTAATTATATATTTCAGCTAAAACATAGCAAGTTACAAAAACTGTGTCATAAAATGCTGTTTTATACCAAATTTATTTTCAAATTATTCGCTATTATAGCTAATAGTGTGATTTATACTATGAATAAAGACTTATAATTTCTTATAATACACATATAAAGGGATAAACGGTCTGATCTGATTGTAATTAAAAAAAACGACTGATTTTCAGTTGGCCGTTTCTTCCTTGATACCGCAAAAGACAATGCCAACTGCTGCTAAGTTTTCAAAGAAACTTGACCAGAACCAGAAGAGATAAATGTTACATTAAAAAATAGCGCAAACGGTGTAGAGTAATAATGCGCCGATCATATTTTAAAGAAACGAGTTACAATTAATACCAAAACATTATTGGCTCGGTGGACAAGTTCAGCGCCACCTAGCGTCTACAACTTTGTTGGCTCTGACGTTTTGATATACAATGGAAACAGTCTGGCATTGTGGCTTGTCTAGTATCTCTATATGTCTAAAAAACAAAGTTAGCTTTTGATTTAGCTAAATTTTGTAAAAGTTGAATAGAAAATCCTTGAAAATATAGTTCTGTAAACACCAAACAAAACGCTTAGAGCCAAAAATGCGACACCAATTTTTATTTTTGTTAAAAATTATAAGTCTATTTTCTTCGGAAATAGTATTAATATCAGTAGTTGGTTACGTGTTAATCAATAATTGAAAATTGGTGAATGTTACATCAGCAAGATCTATAAGTTGCTCATTATTACGGATTGATAAAAATCCAGTAAAATCAGTATCTGTTGAAGTTACCATATATTTTTGAGAGATTCTATATACTTTGTCCTTCATTTGTTTGTAATGTTTTTCTTTTTTCTTTTGACGCCAGCTAACCATTTCTTGAATTGTTCTATTTTCTAAATAACTATTGAGAATCGTTAAAATGTACATTTACTGTTTCTGCCAGAATTCTTGCAATTTACAACACAACATCTGATGTGACCCATTTGTGTTGTGGAAATAGCGTATTTATTAAAATTATGTAACTAAGGCACATGGCACATGACAGCGCCAACATTGATTTTACTTTCGGCCACATGAGCGCTGCAATCGATGACATTACCCCTTCCAAGTACCCGAGCGTGCGGCGCGGTGCGGCTCAAAGAGCCACCAGACAACCCAGATGGGGCCAAATAGAGCCGATACCGATTCGGAGTCGCCGAGAACCTAACGGGTAACCGGGACTCTGGCTCGACATGCAGGAGAAGGAACGGGGTGGTTTTTAGTCAGTAAGAGTCTGACACTCCCTCCCGCCTCACCCAGGCGGGAGCAGTCATTCGATGATTTTCCCCCCTTAAAAAAAAATAAAAAAACCCTTCCAAGTACTTCACACACAGCCAATAGAGAGAAAAATAGTTTAAACAGCGGTTAACATAGATGATCGTTAAAATGATCGATTTATGTGATATAAAAGTCTAATGCCTTCCTATAACTGCAATCACAATTATTACGTAATTGTAAATTAAGCATTAAGGAAAAAAGCAAAATGTTTTTTTTTGTGTAAGGTGTATTTTGTGTATTATTGAACATGATAAGCAAAACATATTTTCTGACATAGCGCTATTTTTATTTCTTCTGTTGTAATCAATGGTCGTCATCCATTCGACTCAACGTGAATCATATAATCAAATAATTTATTTTGACAAGTTAAATTTCGAAAAACAAACAATTAACGGAAAAAGCAGACGGAATATGTAAATAAATTGTACACAAAAAAGGCAGATATGTTCGTTACAACTAAGTTCGTTTTGTTGTATAATGTTGGTTCCCTTGACGTTTTTCTGAATGTTGGCTACCGCAGGGTACGGATTCGGACATGAGTTCTAAGTTTCACAAGGACTTGGACGTTGAATGTCATCGGCTGTCATCAACATGTTCTACGAATTGTACCTACTTTAAAAAAAATGGAATCTGTAATTTTAGGATTTGAATTGTTGTTTCGGGTCTATGGGTTTTAGGCTGTTTACCTACACATTATGCTGCAGGCCGCAGCAGCACTGCTGCATTGTGGCAATGTATGTGATGTGTAACGAAGTGACATTGTATTTGTAAACAAACCAACGACACAGGAGAGAGGGGAAACATTTAGAAAATAAATACTTATAATTATAAAATCTACATTTCTTTTGTTTTACTAGTGGTCCATCTTTGTTTGTCATCATGATTCCTGCCTTCCTGGTCATCATTCCTGGAATCAAATTCAGAATGTTGGAGATAGCATCGGCTTTGTATACAATTTCGATGGTGAAACGTTCGTCATTTATATATATTTTATTTACTTTGTCCTTACTGTAATTCTCGGACAAAAATTTCATACATTTTAGGTTTCCTACGCAGCGAACTATGGAGAGGGCTATGCTCGAGTCTCTCTGAAGGATAGGATCCGTAATGAGGTAATCCAACAGAGAACAAAAGTTACCGATGAAGCCCAAAGGATTAGCAAACTGAAATTGCAGTGGGCCGGTCACATTTGTCGAAGAAACGATGACCGTTGGGGTAGACGTGTCCTGGAGTGGAGACCGCGTCCGCGAAACTTAGTGTAGGGTGTCCTCCAGCTAGGTGGAGTGACGATATCCGCAAAGTGGCTGGCAGTGGTTGGATGAGGAGAGCTTGAGATCGAGTTCAGTGGCGCTGGCGTGCCTATGTTCAGCAATGGACGAGAATAGGTTATTGATGATAATGAGGTTTTTTTTTTTAAGTGGGGAAAATGATCGAATGACTGCTCCCGCCTGGGTGAGGCGGGAGGGAGTGTCAGACTCTTACTGACTAAAAACCACCCCGTTCCTTCTCTTGCACGTCGAGCCGGAGCCCCGGTTACCCGTTAGGTTCTCCGCGACATGATAATGAGGTTACGTACTTAACTACTTACATCTGGGATAAAAGAAAGATAAGATTTCATTTGTTTTATTCTGATGATTACGTAACAACAATTTATACAAAATATTAGCACACAATAGTATTCATACAGTGCGATATGCATTGCATCATTATCTTGACATCATCATTCCTCAGTCAGTTATCACAGAAACGTAGGTAGTAAAAATGAGAGCAACTATTCTTTTGCTCACAAGTGGCGCATATGTGTATGAAGTCTGTTTGTCTAAGTACAAGCTACGGATAAACCATTGGACTTTACATTTTTGATAGACGATATTATAGATAGTGATTGGACAACCAGATCTCGTGGTGAGCATAAAATTGCCCTCATCTCACACAGACCTACTATTGAAGATCAACTTCAACTTGCATTGGTTTGACTTTGAGTTTTTCCGCAAGCGCTGCACTAGACTCGATCTGTTGTTGGACATATGACACTGTGCCGCTGGCTTCTGCTTCTGCCGCCGCTTTCTTCTCTTTGTCTCCTGGAGCCATCACGGCCAGATTAGGATCCGTCTAGAAAGAGATGGACGCTTATGAACAAATCAATATTCTTGTTTTTTAAATGGTTAGGTTAGTCATAGTCATGCATGAGTCCTAGTTTTGTAATAACTTTGTTCTTAAAACTTAAAACCACAAAATTTAAAAAGCTGTTTATATTGAATTTCTCACTGGTTCCAACTGTCGCCAATGTTGTATGCAGTCAGCGAGGCGGTCTCCGAAACCAGGCGCGAACCGTTCAGGGTCGACAGCCACGAAGCAGTGCCCCAGGTTGGCTGGTCCACCGTCTCCCGCGTGGGACCATGACCGTACGTGGTGTCCGTAGTTAGCACCTGTTTCATGCATATAAATGTGTGATTTTGGGTTTAAAAATTATAAAATGATAGCACGTAGTAGTTCCAGCACGAATGGGCCCGGCTGGCCACTTCGACCAGACTGATGGCATGGCCTGATGGCCTAATGGAAACCCGGTGTCGTCGAAGTCAAAGTCAAAGATCTTTATTGTGAGACAGTGGTTACAAAGGTTGTTCTAAAGGTTGTGGTTGTCGTAAGACAACGCTTGCCTTATGTTTCGCTGTGTGACTGACAGGCTGATAAACAAAGGTCGGCAATTCACTCAGGTTGGTGCAGTGCCGGATTAAGCCAGCGCGGGGCCTGTAGCAAATTCTGTCTAGGGGCCCTTGGTTTGCTATCGGTTCTCATTTGGGCATTGACTAAATTTGGTGCCTTTCTTTTTTCTGGCGTCAGTCGATGATTTATGGAAGATATTGTCTGGAATCATATCACAAACGAAATTGTCCCCATATACATATATGAAAGTGAGCCCTATGGGCTCATCTTTCATATATGTATATGGGGACAATGGGGATATGTATATGTATATTTATCGAGGATGGCTATACGCTATAAAACATCACGCTACGACCAAAAGGAGCCGAGCAGAGCGTGTGAAACCGCGCGGAAGTAGCCAATTCCCAACTTTAAATTGCGTGCAACTGTACGTCGGGCGCAGGAATACCATATCACACCACAATATATTCATATTGCCAGGCACTAATTTTTATTACCTATTTTCTCTCGGTCGATAACTTGTGGGATGCTTCTAGGAGTTGTGTCATGAAGCTTCATGAGCGTCAGCTATGTTACCAGTGGTGGGTTGAGCGGTGGTAGCCGTGCGAACATCTAATAAAGTGTATTTTGTTTTGCCATTGACTCCTGGTGGGAGACTCATCTACTTTATAGTTCGCATAATCTTTTGTAGAAAGGAAACCGTCGACTTTGTAAAGTGATATACGTCAGATGAGCGTATATTTTTTTTTCATATAATGTGATCAGTCGAAATATAGTCCATCACTTTGTGACTGAATGACGATATCTTTGTACAGAATCTTATGCTAGCTCTAGATTAGAGTATTAACTGTAGTTAAATTAGTGACTAATCGGGAGTAGGTCGGGAGAAGTAGACAGAAAAAAAATTTTTTCGTGTTTCGACGATTGCCACTACTCAATGCGCTACCGACGCCGCAGCTGACAAACATAGCATTTCGTGATAGGGCTCAGTAAAGTATTTTGCGGGTTTTCGACTGAGAGGGTATTGAAACTTACATGAAAATCTGTCATAGGCCATAAACCGTATACATAGGTATAAAGTGAACACGCTAGCCAAGCAATCGAAATGTTTTTTTTTTTACTTGTGTAGTGGCCAGTTAAAGACTCTGTTATGATTCCGTGGCCTTATAAAAACAAGTGCGAGTCGGACTCGCGCACCGAGGGTTCCGTACAAACCTGCAAGGTTTACAAAGTTCGTTCATTACGACATATTTTGTAATGTAACTAAAAATTTAAGGTTTTCGGAATTTTTCCTTTATGTGTGCTATAAAACGTTGCTTCATGCCAAATTTCAAGATTCTAGGTCGACTGGAAGTACCCTTTAGGTTTTGATTCCCTTGCGAGTACTTGCGAGTTTCAAAATATGCAGCTTAAATTGCTGTTTCTTTTGATTGCGTTGACATAGAAGTTTGATTTTGTTACAGCTTAAAGGTATTATAGACCTGAGTATTTGGTATGAATTTCAATTTAATACCTCTACGCGTTTATGAGGAAATGGGTAGTAAGTTTAAAATTATTAAAAAAATATATATTATGTGATGTAACTAAAAATTTATGGTTTTCGTAATTTTTCCTTTATCTATGCTATAAGACGTTGCTTCGTACCAAATTTCAAGATTCTGAGTTCACGGGAAGCACCCTGTAGGTTTTGATTCCCTTGCAAGTGTCGAAAATTTGCGGCATAAACGGCTGTATCTTTTGATTGCGTTGGCTTAGAAGTTTGATTTTTTCACAGCTTCAAGGGACAGTAGACCTGAGTAATTGATATAAATTGATATAAGCTTCATACCTCCACGCGTTCCTGAGAAAAAGAGTCTTGACAGACGGACGGACGGACGGACAGACGGACAACAAAGTGATCCTATAAGGGTTCCGTTTTTTCCTTTTGAGGTACGGAACCCTAAAAAGAAGTCCACTATAAGCTTTACTATATTCCTTGAAATCGTTTATAAACATTTATTACAAAATATTTCTGACAAGTAAATGAAGAAATATGCGTTGTGTACGGTCACCATCAACAAAATAACAGGAATAATATAGCACTATTTTCACATCTTTGAACTGATTTAACTCGGTTTGGACTGTGTTTTTGATATAAGACCCCATATATTTTTTTGTTTGTAATGTTATTCTGCATCAGTTTTTACACATCCAATAAACTGCCGCGAAAAATAAAAAGGCACCACGCTCCATACAAATTTGGTCATTGTCATTTAGGGTATTATTACATAAAACAAAACTGTTACAAATAAACTTTTCTGGATTTGTTATGGGCAAATTTAGCGATTACACTTTCAATATCGACTTCTTTAAGCAAGTTATGCTCTATATTCAACATTGTGAAATGATTAAGACGTCCTTGGCCCATAGTGTTTCTTAATTAATTCATTTTTGATTCGTTCAAATCGGTCTCGGTTCGCCCGCCAATGGCACCAACCAAGCGAACAAATAGTCACTTTCCTTTTCTTACACATACAAAATACCGACTATTTGTCTTTTTTGTTAATTTCGTTAAGAAAAAAAATCAAATTACATGTAGGTTGGTAGTAGTTTTGTAAACAAAACATTTTCTTCATAAGTCTTGCTGTTGAAGTGGTATTATTACGAAATACCTATTTGAGCGCGGGGCCCCCCAATCCGCGGGGCCCGTAGCATTTGCTACTCTTGCTACGTGGCTAATCCGGCACTGGGTTGGTGTTGCGTGTGTCCATGGGTGGATTGCCATCAGGTGATAAAAATAAAAAATGGCTGACCTGACAATATTCCACAGAAAAGCTCTACCATCGCTGCTAGCCCGTATCCTTTGTAGCCAGATGTGGTCTCATTGCCACCCAACGGCATGAGGCACTTCGTATCGAAAGCCTGGAAAAAAATTCAAAAAATTAAATTATGGCTCTTACGAGTTTAAGAGAGGTACAGTTTTTATTTTCATTTCTCCACAGAAGTCGACCATATTAGTTAAAATTTTTAGATTATTAGTGGTAGAACTTACCACTTGAGCGTCTGTAGTCTCCTTGCCATCAGGTCCTTGTGCCCAACCGTGGGGTATGGGCTCTCCCTTACGAAGTTGCATTTCAATCTGGAAAATTTTGATAATTATTTCACACTTTTTCATCCGATTAGCGCAAATTCTACTTTTCAAAACTAGTTATTTGGCATTAGAAAAGAATTTGTGACAAAATTGCTGTAATTTTATTTATAACTTTACCTTTCCCACAGCAACTGCAGTGGTGGCCATGTCTAGGTAGAAGGATTCACCCTTCGAGGCTGGTGCAACTACTGACACAGGATTGGTTCCTAAAGCTGCCTGAAATTAAAAATACAGTAAAACTAATTAGGTAATGATTTGGAATACGTAGTTGATTGAATATCGAGGGGTCTCGTGAGCTGCAACGAGGAAGGCTGTTTTTAAAATGTTGTGTACCACTGCCTTTTCCTTTGGGTTTCTTATGTAAAAGTAATGGAACTCACCTGTTTACTCCTAGCCGGCGCCAGCAAGGGTGAGGTGTTGGTGAAAGCCATTCCAATGAGACCTTTATCTGCTGCCATTTGAGACCAGAAACCAGCCATTCCATTGTGATTGGAGCCTGGAATTGTTTGATTAATCCATTAATCACATGTGCTGCTAGCGGCTGATTACTGATACCGGGTCGTGGTCGCTTTCAGCATATCAGTATTTCGAATGCTACATTCAATGTCATTTGGCCGATCAGATGATATTTCGACCCGTAACTGCTAAGCATTAGGTAGTTACCCCATTTACGCCAGTTGATGAAACAGTAGAAACTAGCACCGTAGGTTTTTCTAGTCAAATCCACGAACAAATTAAGAAGCTCTTAACTGAAGAAAAAGTTTAAGGTTCAAAGTGTGTGGTGCTATTGTTTTTTCACCTTCTGCCTAAATGCTATACATTAATCTGAAAATAATGAATTACACGATTGGTACCTTTTACTGACACCCATCCTACGCCCGTCTCCTGAGCCTTTTTGATAGCTATATCCATGGCGAACTGGCTGGCGGTAGCACCGAGCACGTTGTTGGCATCGACCCACGCTGTCGACTGGGATTCCTTCAGAATCTTTGGCTGGTTATTGGGTTTGCAGGCACCACTTAAAATATCGTTGATATACATTTCTGAAAAACAAAGAGTGCCATGAACAAATTGCTCTTCATGGGTTATATAATAATGGATGCTTATAGGTATTTGTTACATTTCTCTTGTTTATGCAGAGATGAGAATGTTTACGAAACCACAATCAATGCTAGACTACGATTAGCAAAACAGTGAAATGGTACATAAATAGGTACCGTAAAACGGAAAAGATTTTCCCTACATTTATTCACCCCTCTTATGTATCTATTCAACCCTCGAATTCTATTCACCCCGTTTTACCGCATACAATATTGGATCCGATCATATTTTTTACCACTAGCAAATTGTTTTTTGCTCGTGTTTGGAAGATAATTTCAGTATTTCAGTACCGAGTACGACTGACGACATTTTAAGTCTATATGAAAATAAATTACCATCATGTTCTCTATACGAACCATGGACTTACCTAATCTATTCAGTCCATGACTAGGGTGTCCAAACTTATCAGCCTGGATCAGCAACGCGGCCTGCAGGTCAGCTGCCTTGCTCGCAGTGCCGACAGCCTTCAGGCAGTCTGACATGAACCGCTGGGCGTCAGTTATCTTTACTCTACCCATCGTTGAAGAAACTGGAAACAGATAGACAAATATTATAACATTGATACTCTTTCTTCCTTTCTATATATCTTAACATAACATCATGCCTTTTATCCCCGAAGGGGAAGGCAGAGGTGCACATCATGGCATTTAATGCCACTGTACAATGTAACACCCAATTTTCACTATTTATGTTATGAGTCCCATGTACTAGCGGGTGACCCTATTGCCATATACCAGGCACAATTCCAGACTCCGTGCTACTACTGAGTATTCTTTTAAGGCAGTCTTACAAAGTCGAAAAACATGTAACTTGTGCCGTAAGTTTACATCTAACTTATTTCTTCTATGTTCAGTAAAAAAGTTTATTTTGACGATCTTTTTATTCACTACTATGTCAACATACTTGTAAGTAGCTAACCTATCTAAATAAATAATGAAATCTAAACTTAAGACTATGTTTCTAGAGTTAAATCCGTTAATCTGATATCATTTCCACAATCGTCCGTGTCCGTGTAAGTAAATTAGTAAGAACTAATTGTTATAAATGCTAAAGTTTGTGAATGCGTGTTTGTTTGTATGTTTGTTTCCCAGTTACGACAAAACGGCTGAAGGGATTGAGATGAAATTTGGAACAGGAATTTGTTGTTATGATTTGGAACAACACATAGGCTTTTATACCACGGGACCGACATGAAGCCGCTAGCAGACGCTAGTTTATTTATAATCTGCTCTATGTAGATGTATGATGTGTATGAAACTGTTTGTTAATGACTTCTGATTAGTTTTTTAAAATAGATAATCATGAATGAATCTAATAAAGAAACTGATGCACTGATTGTAGGTTTGAAGATTGTAGGATTTCAAACACTAACAAAGTGTTCGGTCTTATAAATTAATGGTTACTTTTTTTTAGGGGGTAAATCATCGAATGACCCTCAGGGTGAGAGGGAGTCTCAGACTTTTACTGACTAAAAACCACCCCGATCCTACTCCTGCACTTCGAGCCGCAGCCCCGGCAACCCGTTAACCCGTTAACCCGTTAACCCGGCGTTCGTTCATACTGTCATAGAACACAGTGCTCGTTTATAAAAATTTGTTTTGTGTTTTAAAGCAATTAACTTTCATTAAAAGTTCTGTTAAAGTGTCGGATAATAAATGTGGAAGAAGTGCAAATATTATTTCCATGTAAAACAACTAAATCAAGACTAGAATAGTGAAAGCCAATACGGAATTGACATTACACAGTGAATAAAATATATCAAACTACCCTCAACCCTCAATACTTACAACATTCTAAATCATTGGCGTTGACAGATGGAAATTCCGTAAGACATTGACATTGACACACGGCATGAAACTAGTCTTGGTGTTGCCAGTAATACAAAACAACATCTACTAACTATCAAGCGCAGCAATAAAAGAAAAAAAAAATAAAAAATTGTCCATTTAAACTCAGTGACATTGCGTGTTTGTAGGCCGTCCCATACCTCGAGAAAATGTCTGCATTGAGTTGTGCGGGCTGTATGAATCACTTTAAGGTTGGTAAGGGGTTAAAATGCTCACTGTGCCACCAATGGTACGATCTGCTATGTGCAGATATATCTGAGAAAAGATATGCCACAATGCATGTTGGTGCTAAAAACAGTTGGAAATGCCCTGGTTGTCGTAACAAGCAGCCGAAACTTGATAACACCAATACCCCAATCCAGGCAGTCAAACAGAACAGCCCAATAGGCAGCGACCGGCTATCTCCCGGTGAGGACTCTAATGTTACACGTCGCCGTCAACAAATGCTTCAATGTTCCACAAACCACAATGATGAGAACGACTTGTCCCTGGCAGACATCTCTAGCAATTCATTGAGAGAAATAATTAGGCAAGAGGTGAATGTAGCGTTACAGGTCACTATTAAGAAAATTATTGCAGAACAGTTCAACATGATCAACGAAACGCTTTCTGAATTCAGGAAGACGCTGTCATTTTTTAATGATAAATATGAAGAAATGAAAGCGACCTTGGAAGAAAATTCCTCAAAAATGCTGAAACTAGAAAGAGAAAATAATGATCTACAGTACGATATTAAAACGTTAAAACAGCAAATAAATACACTGGAACAGCACTCTCGGTCAAGTAACGTTGAGCTGCAATGTTTACCTGAGTACAGAACCGAAAACCTGATAACAACTGTGCTACAACTAGGCAGGGTGATTAACTGTGATGTAAAGGACACCGATATATTAAAATGCACCAGAGTCGCTAAAAAAGACCCACATAATCCACGACCAAGATCAGTACTCGTAAAATTCAACAGTCCTCGGATACGGGATGCTTTTTTGGCGGCATCACTGAAGTTCAATAAAAATAACCCAAAAAACAAATTAAATTCAAGCCATCTCGGTATAGCCGCCGAGAAGGCTGTTCCCATTTACGTTGCTGAACATCTATCTCAAGAAAATAAGGCTCTTCATGCGGCAACGAGACTGAAAGCCAAAGAACTGGGATACAAGTTCGTTTGGGTTCGTAGTGGAAAAATTTTAATAAAGAAAGACGAAACCTCCGAATCTGTGGTCGTAAATAGTATCGAAAAGCTGAATCTTTTAAAATAAAACTTTCTCCAACTGTATAACTTAAGCTAGCTTATAGGATCATTTATTTTTAAATTCAATTCCATTAAATGTTACTATCAAAACACAAGAGGCTTACGCAGCTGTATCTCAGAGGTACGTCAGCGCATATGTAACAGTGAGTACGACATTTTTATTTTAACAGAAACTTGGCTATGCGACAGTGTTCTTGACTCTGAATTATTTAACGACTCATACACAGTATACAGACGGGATCGTGCGACTTCTTATTTCAGTAAACATAAGATGACCGGGGGCGGTGTACTTATAGCCGTCACCAACAAATTAATTTCCAATCGCCTAAAAGAATGGGAAAGTGATTGCGAGGATTTGTGGATTTCCATCAATACTGAATCTAATGCAGGCCCACAATGTTTAAACATCTGTGCTGTATATATACCGCCTCCGGTTGGCATCGACGTCCTTGAGCATTTCATTCGTAATTGTGACTCGATCATGGGGAAAAATAGTAGAAGCTGTACATTGATAGTTGGTGATTTTAACATGAGTTGTGTGAATTGGATCGAGCGTGGCACTGATGGTTCATGCTCGGCCTCTTCTAGTGGTTCAGGCAACCTCAAAAATGTATTGCTTGATTTTATGGCATTATACGGCTTCAAACAGTTTAACTGGATAAAAAACTTTCAAAATAAAATACTTGACTTGGTGCTCTGTGATGCAGAACAACTACGTATAGATAATTGTCTCGATCCCATAAGGGAACTGGATAAGTTCCATCCAGCCATTGAAATTGGGCTTCATCTTCCTGTTATTTCTATAAACCATTCTAAGCAAATTAGTAGGCCCAATTATCATAAAGCTGATTACAATCTCATCATCGAGGCCCTGGCCGAAATTAATTGGGATACTGAGTTTTCTACCTGCAATGATGTGAATGATATGTTGAATGGGTTTTATGATGCTGTTCACGGCGTAATCAATAGACATGTGCCAAAAACTAAATATAAGAGAGGGCGGTATCCTTCATGGTATACGCATCAGTTAACGAAATTACTCAAAAAAAAAACAAAATTACACAACTTAGTGAAAAAGTATAACAATCCGTTGGACATTGTAGAATTTTCTTATCTCAGAAAAGACTGTCACAAGTTGCAACAAAAGTGTTATAACGATTATTTGTGTAAGATTGAGGATAAAATAAAAAAGCATCCAAAATTTTTTTGGACACACATTAACAACCTCCGAAAAAGTAATACGTCTTATCCATCTGAAATTACATTAAATGATGCCAAAGCCTCCGATAACAGAACTATCTGTGATTTATTCTCACAACAATTTTCCTCGGTATACTCCTCACCTGGACAGGGGCGGGTTAACCTTCGGGGTGTTTTCTTAGACGTCTCAATCCCTGTACTGCCAATAAATGAATTCTCAATCTCACCTGAGTCAGTCTTCACAAAACTGTCTGGCCTAGACATACACAAAGGTGCCGGACCTGACAATATACCCCCAGTATTTTGGCTAAGATGCGCACGTTGTTTGTCACTGCCTTTGGCAAACATCTACAACATGTCACTTCGGACGGGTATTTTCCCAAATAAGTGGAAACAGGCTAGGATTATACCTATATACAAAGGTGGAAAGCGCGACATGATTTCTAACTATCGGCCCATCTCGATTCTCTGCGCCCTGTCCAAGGTTTTTGAATCCCTTGTCTACCCGGTACTGTATGATCATGTTAGAATGTATCTGTCCAACAGCCAACATGGCTTTACTGTCAAAAAGTCTACGAATACAAATCTGGTCGCTTACGTCACTGAAATAATATCAAAACTTGATCAGGGTCTCCAAGTTGATGCAATATACACTGATTTTTCCAAGGCCTTCGACAAAGTTAACCATGTAATTTTGTTACATAAACTCAAATCCTTAGGCGTTGTTGGTACCATGCTCAAATGGTGTAGATCATATCTCGAACACAGATCGTCCACAGTAGTGGTAGATGGCAACGAGTCGGACCCGTACTTTGCCTCCGCCGGTGTACCGCAGGGATCTAATCTGGGGCCTTTGTTCTTCAATATTTTTGTTAACGATATTACACAAGTATTTAAAAACTCCACAGCTTTTCTATTCGCGGATGACTTGAAACTGGCGCGTGTTATTTCAAGTGAAACTGATATTCTTTTACTACAATCAGACATAGATAGTCTAAGTCAATGGTGTGCCGATAATGGGATGTATCTCAATTGTTCTAAATGCTACCATATTAAGTTTACTAGAAAGATTAACAAGATACAGTCTTCATATAATATCCAGGGGAATAAACTGTCTGAAGTTACATTAATCAGGGATTTGGGAATTACTTTGGACAGCAAACTTACCTTTGTTGAACATATGGATAAAATCCTGAACTCGGCGTATCGCGCCCTTGGTTTTGTTCTGCGGGCATCAAAGGAGTTTAAAAGACCTTCTACCACCCTACTGCTATACAATAGCTACGTGCGAAGCCAGTTAGAATACTGTAGTGCGGTTTGGAGCCCATCGTACCAAGTCCACATCGCTCGAATCGAGAAAGTTCAGAAAAAGCTCCTTAGCCACTTGGCCTTTAGATTCAAATTGAGAAATTCTAGATCTTACGAGGATAGGTTGAATTATTTTAAACTCACTGATCTCAAGTCTCGCCGCATCATGCTTGATCTAACATTTCTATACAAGTTGCTTAACAATGGAATGGACTGCCCAGATCTTCTAAATAAGATTTCTATCAATGTGCCTTCCAGAGTACCTCGCCACCCCCGCCCATTGCTTGAGCCGCCGAGATGCCGAACAAACTTGAAAAAACATTCACCACTAGTTAGGATGTCAAACCTGTATAACACCGTAGCTTGTAACTCCACGGAAATTGATATTTTCTCCAATAAACTGGGGAAATACAAATCCCTGCTTCACACATTGCTCGCTGATACATAGGTGCTGAAGTACCTATACGTTAATTTATTTTCTTAATTTAATTTATTGTCTTTTTATTATCATTGTTTTCTGTTTGCATCGTTTGTTTTGTTTCCTGCTTTGACAATTTTCCATTTTATATTCAAAATTACGATTTATTTTGTTTGCATGTCGTGATCTCCTTTAATTGGAGAAGCACAAGGTATCTGTTTATTGTATTAACACTGTGCATGTTACGTGTATTCTCTGTTGGAGATCCTTTTTAAATAAAAATAAAAAAATAAAATAAAGTCTTCCGCGGCTTCGTAAAATTAATGGTTACTTAGATTTACCTACGTGATACGCGCGCTCTATACTTGCTGGTAGCCAAAAGGAAACATATAGATAGATACAGGCGGATAACAGTTTCCTTGACTGCCTGTCTGCGAACATAATACCTGTATTAATATTTATGTTAACGATAGTTAAGTATGACGGCATAGTAAATGATCGTCCACGTTATAGAGAATAGAGAAGAGATAAAGACAATTAGATCTCTCAGTGATTGGGTGGTACTAGTTGAGACAAACTTAGAAACATGCCATAACTAGAATGTTTGCTTTATGTGTTTATTGATTGTTAAGGACTTGTCCCAAAATAAATAGGCTGTTAGAGTTACAAGACAACATTTAATACCTAAGTACCTTCTAGGTATATTACATACCTTTTGCAACTTAATTTCACCAAACAAATTAAGAAAAAGAAAAAAGATAAGTTAATATTCCTCATCGAGAACACAAAAGTAAATGCATAGTCGCATTCTAAAATTGGAACGAGCCTCAAGGGCAATCCTTGTAAATCGGTCAATGACCTGTGTAAAGAGATCTGACCAATTTGTACTCAAGCCGAGACGTAGTAATGTCCTTACATATGTATTATAATGTCATATGTAAATGTTCAGTAAGTATGTTCCTTTATTGCCGTGTGATATCGTCAGAGCACATTTGACACCAGCTTCGCTCTTTCCGGTGTCCTAAGACTCGTAAGAGCCACCTAAAGGACTAAGGACTACGGAGCCACGGAAGGTGTAACGGGTTGCCAGAGCTCCGGCTCGAAGGGCAGGAATAGAAACAGAGTGGTTTTGTAGTCAGTTAGAGTCCGACACTCTCTCGCCTGGCCCAAGGCAGAAGAAGTTATTTTCCTGCCTCAAAAAAAGGAACTAAGGACTACACATTTTTGACTGAGATGGGGCAATCTGTGATATATTATTAAACTTGAATTTTTTAAACTGTTGTCTCCAACCCGTCAATCAAGCATGAAGGTTATGGCAAACGCCATTATTCAGGAGGGTCATCCAGCAGCGGAATATCACCGGTTGTTGTTGTTGATGATGCTCCTATTATAGTAAAAGTGAACCAGCTAATGACGTATACTATAACTTCTTCATCAGAGTTAACGATTTAAACTAATGAGGTGCTTATACTAATCTAAGATAATCTTAGAACAAACGAACAAATAAATGGATGTCCATAGGCGGCGTCGATGGCTAACCATTAAATGATCCGTCTGCTCGTTTACCGGCTTATCACTATATAGTCAAAGTCAAAGTCAAAGTCAAAGCATTTATTTCAATTAAACCATAGTTTGGTACTTTTGAAACGTCAACAAATACAAAATAAATAATAGTCTGTCAGTCGTATTTAACAAAGTCGCTATCCGACGTCTGTCTGTCCTTATGTATGCTTAGATCTTTAAAACTAAGCAACAGATTATAATGCGGTTTTTTTAAATAGATAGAGTGATTCTTAAGGAAAGTGTGAAGGAAGGAAGGTTTTATAATATATGCATATTGCACCCGTGCGAAGCCTGGGCGGGTCGCTAGTCTCATAATAAAAATAAACGATATTTTGATTTTGAACAGAAAATATTTTAGGTAGACTGAATACAATTAGGTAAAAAAGTTCAAGGTATTGGTTATGTTGTTTGCCATTTTTTATTGTCGTGATTTTCATACTGCTTTACTATTCTTAGTTTGTCTCTTCGGTATTTTGGGAGGGACCATGATCCTTAAGCGTAGGGTGTACGTTTCAATGGCACGACCAGGACGACTTCCTAAGTAAATTATATAGATGGTGCTAATAAGCGTTGATTGCTAATTTTTATGGGATATGGGGCTTGGGACATACGAGCAGACGGACCACCTGATGGAAAGTAATTAGCCAACCCTGTGCTAACCCATGGATACTCGCAAAATATCGGTTCATCAAATTAATCACGTTGGGAATTAAAAAACTTATTACTATAACCCAACAAAACCTTCGTCAAATTACAGACTGTAATAATTTATTATAATCGTAAACCTAACTTCATATAATTTTACCTCATAGTACCTATTATTAAATACTTAAGTCTATTTATATTAAGGATAATTTTCTGTTACCTAAGAGGAAAAGTTTAAAAGTAAGGACATACCTATTAGGGGACATATTAAAGTAATATGGTGTACATAATAAATAACGGAATGCAAATGCATTTAGTCTCGGAAGAAAGACAGTTTGTAGTAAGGTTGTTTCAAGTAGCATTATTTTGTTGCTTTGACAATTTTCTTTAACGCAATTTCAAGATGGATAAGTAAAATGAAATGGTCAATGAAATAACGGAGATTTTTTCTTAATTTTTCTTTCGCAGTCTTCTCTTGATACTAAGAAAAAAATGTATATAAAAGTCGCTCGATTAAAGAAACAGACCCGAGCGTACGGCGCGTCGCGTTCTGCGCGCGCCTCAAAGAGCCATCAGACCACCACAGATGGGCCCAATAGGGATGATGCCGATTCGGAGTCGCGGCGAACCTAACGGGTAACCGGGGCTCCGGCTCGACGTGCAGGAGAAGGAACGGGGTGGTTTTTAGTCAGTAAGAGTCTGACACTCCCTCCCGCCTCACCCAGGCGGGAGCAGTCATTCGATGATTTTCCCCCCTTAAAAGAAAATTCTTTGAGTACCGTCATTATAGACACAATTAAAGAACAATAGGTTGCGGTCACCGGTGTCCTCGCGGTGTTTGACAGTTTAACTCGTTGAGCACCGTCATTATAGACACAATTAAAGAACAATAGGTTGCGTTCACCGGTGACCGCAACCTATTGTTCTATAATTGTGTCTACAAAACCGGTACTCGACGAGTTAAAAAAAAAATTTGTTCTTACACAATATATAAAAATATACATGTGTATATATTCATTTGGTTTCCCATGTACCCCAAATGGCTTCAGATAAACAAGATAGCTTAAGTTAACTTGATTACACAAGTTACTAAGCGTGTGTGTATCAATGATACACACACGCTTATCTAAGTCATTACGTATTGTGATAACTTAGTTGTTTACATTGCGTAACATACCGGCTATTATTAAAAAACAATCTCGAATAGGTACTGATCCTGTATGAATATCGAGATAAAAATTAGCCTAACTAACTCGCTGAAAAGGAAGTTTGTCAATTGTGAAGGTATTTTTCAAACTAATCCAGTACTTGATACTTCTCCCAGTTGTGCAGTCTCTTTTCTCTGTATTTATTTCTGCATCTTGCATTAAATTCACCGAAGGAAATAGAAACTATAGTTTTATCTTCTCCTCCAATAATATCTTCTGATTTATTTCGTTGCGAGATCCAAGGCAGTTATTCATGTCCCTGGGACGCGCCGGACTTCAGTGTTCCAGTATTTATAATTATGGTTGTATCTACTGTATATCCTAGCTTATAGGGGTTGAAGCGATCCCATTAAAAACAAGTCCAGTAGTTGCAGAGTCTATTTAAAAACACGGAACTAGCAAATCTTTCCTCCATAGTCTAATATTTAAATGAGTAGAGATTTACAACAGATACAAATAAGATGCGGTGTAAAAACCCAAAGGCAAAATATATTTCTGCACGCGATGCACCGCAAAAAGTCACGATATATGTATATAAGTGGAACATATGTACCTACATCAAAGTAAAATTCAAGGTAAAACGCATTCTATATGAACTTGGCTGAAAAATCAATAAAAATAAGTAGCTGTATGTAGAACTAGTGGTGTAGTAGTCATGCATAATGAACATTTCGATCAACTACTGCGCCCTGCACTATGTAGTGCACACATGTGTATTGACAAACAAACGGGTTCGACTCCCACACAGAATTAGTGTCTGTACAAGTGAACAATTTGAGTGTAGTATTTGTATCATCAAACTTATTTCTATTTGTAAAGAGTAACAATTAAAATCCAAGCTAACAATAAAAAGCAACTAATAATGGAACGTAAACGTTTCTAATTAATGCGAAATTAGTCACTAGCCAATCAAAATACAAATGACAAGAATGATAACGATTTAATTTAAGCAAATACTATCAATTTACTAACAAAACAAGACTCAAAATACACTCATTAAGTAATAAATAAAACTGTAATAATAAACTTACGTAATTTTCGTATTTCTCGTTGCTAAACTTGTTATATTCAATGTTGTTTTCTTTTTAACAACAATGTTGGAATTATTCAAATTGCCACAGATTATACGCGCGCCCGTGGTGCCGCGTGCCGGCTTACTGAGTTTACCAACTTCATTCAGTTTGGTTTCGTATGATATTTGTTTAGTTAGTCGCCGGCTCAGTGATGTTTCTAGGAGAATTTATGGCTATATTAATTTTAGCCTACGTTCTAAAGAGCACGCATCTGTCTGAGATGCTAGTTGCTGCCTATTCTAGGAATAGATGGTTATCTATGTTTTTATTTGCATATTTTTGAGAGCTGATGTAAATTAATGTAATGTTTGTTTCTGTTTGTACGTATCGCTAGATAGGTACTTTTACTTTCGTCATACCTATCTTTAGGTGTCAATATTTATGATAAAATGTATTTTTTTGATAGATAATGCACTTGGTGATAATGGGATGGATTAGGGACACCTACTTAAAATTGTCATTTTTTAAAATTTTCACAAATCGCAGATAAGATGAGTTCTGTGTCCTCCACCAAGGTCTCGTATCTGCATTATCTATGTAAAAACTTCAATATGCTTGAGTGATACCCAAAAATAAACTTTAGTAAGTAAGTATTACAGTGAGTTCGACTTCAAATCAAAATATCATGCCATGCACCTATCTGACTGGTTTATTTTATCATATCAACAAGTATGGTAATAAGGTTGACTTTCCAGTGTACTCCAGGCCGACTGATTTCATCACTAAAGAAAGATACGTAGGTAAAGGTCATTTGTACAATCCACTCGGACAGAAGTCAATAACACAAATTGGTTTACGAGTGTTTTATGACAACTGTCATTTTGTGTCATTAATACGACCATTTGTTTAATTGACTTCATATGCAAGTGACTATGTGTCTATCATATTTTTTCATTTTTTATGTAGGTACACAATAGAATAAAGTAGTGGTACATAAGGCTAACTGAATGCCATACGGCATTTTCTACCAGTCAATCTAAGGGTTTAAATAAATAAAAAACAAACATGTATTTAGGCCACTGTGATGGGAGTTAATGAATTGATCGCAGTTTGTGGTTTTCTGTAGGTTCTGTTTATCGGAATGAGGCAAAGGTATGAGTTATACATACGTACTTAAGTACAATACGTACATGTATATATGCTCCTGAATTTTTAAGGTTGCATTGTTTTTAGTAACAATGTCTAATTAATGTTGTTATGTAATTAATAAACTAGGTGTTACATTATTTCTACATGCTTTCACGTTTTTGCACATTGGTTTACTAGGTAATTACTTAATTAGGTATCTTTGTCATATACGATACGAGGAAAACCCATTGTTATAATTCATACCAGATACTTATATGGGGTAAAAATAACCTTAAAATGGTAAATTACATATAATTTGCAAAATCACTGGTAATATGTGAATAGTATGCAGACGAGCTGAGTATCACGTGTCTAAATACTATATTATATGTGTGGGGTAGCTATGTATTTACATAAGCATAAATATAGTTGACACTACACTAACCTTGACAGAATCAAGGTTGTTTGCGATTCATTGATAATGAACTTGATCGTACAGCACTGTTCATTATCACTGATTCATCTTAAAGAAAAAAATTAACAGGATTTAGCGAAAGTACCTTGAAGGAACTTCAAGCATAGGTCTTAATAAATTAATGATTTTATTTTAATTTTTTAAATCTTTTTATCAACCTTAACTCGTCGAGTACCGGTTTTGTAGACACAATTATAGAACAATAGGTTGCGGTCACCGGTGACCGCTTGGTGTTTGACAGTTTAAATAGTGGTATGACTTGATATTACATGTGACATGATACATTATAATTAATAATGAAATATTTGACTTACTTATTTTAATAAATGTTTACTAGAAGCTACATGTGACATGATGAATTTAGATTTTATTGTTTGAAAAATTGTTGACTTGATGCATCATCAGCTTGACTTAATTTTATTTAATGTTACTTATTACTTAGACCTATTTATTTTAATAATTATTGAAAACGTTAATGTGTTATTAATTGAATTGGAGTCTGAAATTCAAACTTTGTATTTTGTTGTGTCCGACAGGGTTCATAATTGTGTCCTAACTTTAATCCAATGTAACATCTTAAGAAACATTATGGAATGCAAATAAAGATATTAACATGAATAATTGCTCGACTGGCGACTTTGAGGAGGCAGAAGTCAGGGACTAGAGCCTTAGACCGCCAAATGTTTTCTAGTCTGTTACAAAGCTATTTTTTTTCTATGGTTTAACTCATTTTGTGGTACAGTCGTATAGTACACAGAGCATGGTAGGGTCACATGTCTGAAAAAACACGAGTAGCCTCAGTAAATTGAAATTGCTTAGACACAAAAAACTTCGATTAAATTTTTTTATTGCTCCGTTGCACTGTGAAAGGAAGACAATCAAACATTCTGTCGTTTTTACTATAGGTATTATTATAGTAATTTTATACATAAGTAGCTACGATTTCCAGTGAAAGCATAGTGGTCTGGAGGTTTAAGAAGCCCGCTTCTCGTGCATGAGAGTGCAGGTTTGAAACCTACCAACGGCAAGTACAAATGTGACTTTGTCCGAGATATAAGTACTTTCAAAGATTATCTAGACACCCCTGACGAACGGTGAAGGAAAATATTGTGAGGAAGGAGGACAATAGGCTTATAATTCCTAATTACCTCTATAAGTTTGAAATCGCAAACCCGCATTGAGCAACCGTGGTGATTCATGGTCAAACCTTCTCTATATAAGAAGAGGTCTTTGGTCAGCAGTGGGCACTTATATGCTGTTGATGATGATGATGATCTACAATTTTATTTTCATGATAATATATAAAAATATTCCATGTTTTTGTTGTTAAGACGACCCCAAACATAGAGATAACTTGAGCTGATAGAGATTGTGACGTAATAGGTATAAATAAAGATAATGCTATCTGTTATCTATGTCAGTGGTAAGAAAAATTATATTTAATAGCAGTCAAAATTAAAATAACTTGAGATCACACCCTCTATATCCGAAGGCGTAAGCAGAAATTCACTTCTGGTAGTTCTATATTTCGTCATCTACATAATTATGACTACTTGTTTATTAGTTACGACACGTATACATAACATAACATCACGCCTTTTTATGTAGTGTAGGCAGAGGTGCACATTACTATGAATAATATAAATTCAAAGACACATTAATATAAATATGAACACAGTGCATGATTAAAATAAAATAGGAGAATTGGGTGCATGATTAATAAATGGTCTTACCGTATATTTAACTGCCGTGGGTACTCTTAGACTTTAATGATTACTTAAACTATTCCTAAGTAACTAAGTAAGTAGTTATTACTACGTTTAACGCTATTTGTATCACGAATCACGATACTGCACTGGTATGATAAGATTACCTGATTTATTTATTGTATTTAATAATTGATGTACACAAACAGCACAGAAGATAACACATATATAAAATTAAGTAGCCCCTATTATTTAAGGGGCACAACTATTGTTTGTTTTAAGTGTGGGAAAGCCATGCTTCGGCACGAATGGGCCGGCTCGACCGGAGTGGCCTCACAAAACACAGACGTAAAACAACGCTTGCGTTGTGTTTTGTCGTGTGAGTGAGGTTACCGGAGGCCCAATTACCCCCCTCCCTAGTCTCCCGAATCCCCGAATCCTCCACAATCCTCAAATTCCCAATTCCCAAAAGGTCGGTAACGCAACGTAACGCCTTGGTGTTTCGGGTGTCCCTGGGCGGCACCGATTGCTTACCATCAGGAGATCCGTCTACTCGTTTACTGGCTTATGCTATAAAAAAACTGGAAAAGAATCGAAAATAGTACCCCTCTTTTTTAAATTCGAAAAACTGAATGTCCAAACTCACATAATTATAAACTGTATGTTTGTCAGTTTGTGTGTACAACTTCCAGCATTACATTACTTGACAATAGTCAGTGATTTATCACTGTTATGTTTACTAACAGATAGTCAAATGAAATGTCAACTATTCTGTTTAACTGCTACAGTACAGTTTAATGAGTATTATCTGACACAAGTCGTGTCGTGTAAATTACATTTTATCTTGTAAGTCGTGTGAAATATTTTACAATATAAGTAGTTTATTAGTGTTTTAATAGTCCATTTTGTGTCAAACGGGAATCGACTGAGTGTTTTTTTCTAAGTTGTCGTGTTGTGGCTGATGTAGGTACCCACCTAATGTTGATAATGAACTAGTTATACATTTTTATAATAACTGTCGTGAGACATATTAAATTAAGTAAAAATCGCGGGCTACTCACGTGAATGAATTTATATTTTTTCATTAATTAAACTAGTTTTATGTTTGTTTCCGATGATAAAGTGAGATTACGTACTAGTATTTCAAATGTTTTGTAATAATAAAATAAAAAAGCCATTTATTTCTTACACATTTTATTCTTGCTGTTAATATTGTAAATGTAAATTACAATCATAAAGTTTATTCATTATTAGTGTTGGTTAGCTTGCATTCTGTAAGAACCCCTATTGAGTGAAGGCCTCCTCCAAAGCAGTCCACTTTTCTCTATCCTGTGCTACTGTAGTCCACTGAGGGCCCGCTATTTTCTTAATATCGTCTTCTAACGTGTCGTGGGTCTTCCTATATTTAGCTTGCCTATTTCAAATATTTTACAATATCCTTTTTATTACTATTTTTAAGGTAATTTTAAGGTGTAAATATTTAGTTTTTAGTTATTTCTATTTGTAATATTAATTGTAGTTTATATTTACATTTTAAGTTGTAAATATTTTTGCTATGTACCTACTTATTATTTCACCTATAATATTTTGCATCATTAAAAATCCTGTACAAGTGACATATTCATACTGTTAATAGAATCTTTTACCAAGATTAGGTAATTGATTTCCTCCTTTTACTATTATCACGTCACGAAGGTCAAGATCAAATAGTTTCAAGAAAAAACATCTATTGTCCAATTATCTCTTTTTTAGTCTCTCTTTACAATTTTCTCGGTTAAGTGAAGAAATCTCATATATTTTTTACCCTATTTTATAGTGCATATAAATGAGTGGATTTTCTAATGATAGTTCAGTTTCCTCGTGTCTTATTACAGTTACGTGGTTAACTGAAAGCTGATCAGTGTGGATCATATTTCTGTGCGTACATGGTGTTTTAATAAAAGTGTATTCGGAGTGTTTGAAGCGCTCATTGGCTCTTTGTCTTCATTCTACAGAATTAGTTTTAGGTAATTTAAAGGAGTATTGTTCCTTATAAGATTGTCTTTTTTTTGAAAATGGGTCCCGCGCTTTGTTTAATGTCTAAACTACCTCTAAATAACGTTCAAAGTTATTAGCACTTTTGGCAGTGGTACATGATTCTAGTTTTAATGGACACTTCATTTATTTAAGCTTCATGCACAAAGTGTACACAAGGTGGACTTAATGCCGCAGGCATTTTCTCCCAGTCTGACCTTTGGGTGATGCAGAGAAGAGTTAATGGTGTGAGCACGAAACAAGCAACTTTAAGTTTTTGGTTGGTGTCATCTGGTTCAAATTTTTGTTGAAACCATTTAGGAGTATCCTTTATGATCCTTAACATGACGTCTCACGTTTTATGACACATAATTGTGATCCTTACACACTTGATAACAGTGATATTATCGCTCGAGTTGCAACCATCCTGTAGTTAATTTCCCCTTCTAATACTTAGTACGTTAGGTCTCCCCCCAGAACTAAGTACGACGTTCTTTAAAAGTCTTGGTTGAGGTTCTTCATAGGTATTTGGATTAATAACTTTGTTCTTAACGTGTGCTCAATTTTGTGTTTGTGGAATATTGGTAGGTTCATGTAGGTATAAATATGTATATATTTAAAACTTTTATATTAAATAACGAATGGAGTTTTTTGCTCGTTCTTCTCCATTCGAATGTTCATTTTGGAATGAGCACCTAGTATCACTGACGGACAGACTGACACACTATTATTTATTTTATATTTATTGACGTTTGAAAAGTACTTACCAAATATTATGGTTTAATTGAAATAAATGCTTTGACTTTGTTCTGTAACAAAGTGTTAAGTGTAGGAGAGCCATGCTTCGCCACGAAGCGCCGGCTCGACCGGAGTGATTCCACGACCTCACAGAAGACCGACGTGAAACAACGCTTGCGTTGTGTTTTGTCGTGTGAGTGACCTCACTTCGGTGACCTCACCGCAGGCCCAATTACCCACCACCCTCCCCACCCTCCCCAATCCCCAAATCCTTCACAATCTTCTAATTCCCAATTCCCAAAAGGACGGTAACGCACTTGTAACACCTCGGTGTTTCAGGTGTCCATGGGTGACGCCGATTGCTTACCATCAGGTGATCCGTCTGCTCGTTTACCGGCTTATTCCATAAAAAATACAATATGTTGGTTGTGATCCTACTGAATAATATCTCAAGTTTATTAGATCAATTGTAAGATCTTTTAGATTATTTTTTTTTCTTCTAATCTGATGATTAAGATCAAATATTGTTTAGAGAAATAGTTTCTGATACAAATTTCTTTTTACTTAATTATAGCTTAATTTTCGTGTTTTAATTTATTTATCCATTTTGTTTTAGTATCTACAGTCATGCCTGAAGTGAAGTTAGAGGAGGTACGGCGGTTCATGGAGGACAGTCTGAAGGCTGTTGGAGCTCCGGAGTCGGAGGCGAAGGCCCACGCCGACCTACTGATGCATGCAGACACTGTGGGTCATTACAGCCATGGGTTGAATAGACTCGGTAAGTTATAGGGGATTTATAAAAAGTGCTATAAACAATTGATAAAAACATTTTTTTTAAAGATGTTTCCCCACACTATGGCCTTTGTCATGTGTCGTGGGTGCGTTTACAAACATACTAGTTCACATACACATGACACCAGACCCGGAACGTCAATTTGTGGATCACACAAAGAGTTGCTCCGTAGGTACGGGAATCGTACCCGCGACACGTTGGGCGGCAGTCAGTTGCCCAGTCATCGCACCAACCAATGCATCAAATGCTTGCAATAATAGTATTCTATTCAACCATTTTTAAGTTTCGACTTAGTTTAATAGATTTTATCGATGTTAATCAAATGTCTTCACATCGCAACAGGAGAGTTTTTGTTGTTTCTTTGCAATCATAAATCATTGATAAATTCACAAAATCCTTTGTTTGAAAACTGTGCTGCAATATATTATTTTATCTCTTGGCTTCTCGTAATACTTTCGACCTTGTTTTTTAATTCTTTTCTAGACAATACAGGCGTACCTGTTGAGGTCACCGATAAAGGCTTATTGATTGTACCTACAAACGTAAGCATAGTAAGCTACGTTCAACCAACTTTATATTTTATTATAAAACGATAAAGTAGAAAATGTCTTTGATCTAAACCTTATAAATGTTTCATCTACAGAGATGATTCATTCACACCTATTTATTTTCTTTTTTCATTTTAACAGAATTCTACATTAATGACTGCCAGTCTAAGGCGTGCGTGCCTACAGCTAAACCGGAGATCCTGAAGGAATCTGGAGCCACAGCTTGGGTGGACGGTCATAATGCACTTGGTGCCACCGTCGGCAACTTCTGCATGGACTTAGCCATCAAGAAGGCGAAAGAATGTGGCGTTGGATGGGTTTGTGCCAGAAGTGAGTCTTTAAGAAAATACTACATTTATTAAATTATATGGATTGATCTGTCGTCGGCGGTATTTCCGAACCGATACGACCTACAAACCTTCAAGAAAATAGCGTATTCCTTTGTATAAGGCCGGCAACGCACCTGTGACTCCTCTGGTGTTGCGGGTGTCCATGGGCGGCGCTGATCGCTTACTATCAGGTGATCTGTGCGCTCGTTTGCCTCCAATTGCATAAAAAAATTGTTACTGAAGAAACGAATCTTAATTCAATTTAACTCTTTAAAGTATTGTTGCTTATAGCAAGTTCCTAACTCCACTAAGTTAGACTCACTAGACATCACAAACGATTTAATTATGTTCACAAATATATACTTGTCCTTCAAAACTAAATACTGGTTTACCGGACCTCTTTTAGGACAATTAGTCTTGGCATAACTAACACTAATAAGTAACTAAATGTCTAGGGAGTAACCACTTCGGCATGGCTGGCTACTGGGCGCTGCAGGCGGAGCGCGAGGGTCTCATAGGCCTGGCCTTCACCAACTCGTCTCCAATCATGGTTCCTACCAGGTCAAAACAGGTATGCTCAACGAATATAACACTATTAAGCTGAGCTCCAGCCTTTTGCGCTGCGACGCACCATAGGCTTTTTTAGTGTTTCTAAATTCTTGTTTTTTTTTTTTTTGTAAACGAGCCGACGGATTACCTGATGGTAAGCAATCGGCGCCGCCCATGGACACCTGGAACACCAGAGGCGTTACAAGTGCGTTACCAGCCTTTTGGGGATTAGCAGTTTGAGGATCGTTGGGGATTCAGGGATTGGGGAGATTGCGGAAGGGAATTGTCACATAAAGTATTTTACTACTTATAGGCAGATATATGAGCTTGAACAGTATTGACTACCTTTAAATTCTGGTTTTAGCTTCACATCATTAATTACAACACACTTAGTGTTGTGTTTATTGTGTTTCAGAGAGCGCTGGGAACAAATCCTATTGCGATGGCTGCACCTGCGACTGATGGTGATAAACTTGTGGTGGATATGGCTACCACCACAGTAGCCATGGGGAAGGTAAGAATACGGTACATGCCAAAAATGACAATACATAATTATGTATTGTCACAATATGTCGAAAGTTACAATACAATTGTATTGTATACTACATACACACTGAATAAATTATTATGTTTTCGGCTTACTCACGTAATAATATGACGAGGAAGTCGACTAGTTTCAAGCCATGCTAGAGGCTCATATTCATGAGCAGCATTTCGCGACCCGCGACGCGGCGACTGTTGCGCTATAAGTAGTAGCAGCGCGACAGTCGCCACGTCACGAGTCGTGAAATACATAATTGTTGAGAGAGTGGACATTGGCGTAGCGTGCCATGGTCCCCCACCAGTATAAAAAATGTTTGAATTTCCCCAAACTATTTTTTAGTTTTACAAATATTTAATCTATAGTAAACGTTCTGCTCATAAAATGCATAGGTATTTTTTGAAATAGACGCTTTGGCCGCCATTTTTCCAAGATGAATTTTAGAAGAGTACCTACATCAAATCTACAAAATTACCAGTTTTCAATACTACCGGAAAAATTTCTAGGCAACTCCCTTAATTTTTAACCACATTATCGGACTATGATTACTTTAGTGTCTTTTTTTTTTTTTAAGGGGGTAAAATCATCGAATGACTGCTCCCGCCTGGGTGAGGCGGGAGGGAGTGTCAGACTCTTACTGACTAAAAACCACCCCGTTCCTTTCCTTCTCCTGCACGTCGAGCCGGAGCCCCGGTTACCCGTTAGGTTCTCCGCGACTACTTTAGTGTCTATAGTCTTTCTAAAGTTCAGCCAATTTAAGAACGCATGCTTCACACGTTTATAGTACGAAAGTATTAATAACATACATTTACTTTTGTGATTTTTGAAATAAATAAAGTACTTATTATTAAAACTGCTTACGCGCTTTGCTGTAAAGTGATACGGTAGATACTACGCCTCTGAATGTGGAGTATCGAATATGGACGTAAAGAATTTTTAAAATAGCTAAAACAGCCCTTCCGTCAAAGAATTTATATTTCAACATATTATTATCTTCTAGTTTATTCCTCAAGCGACAGTAATATCACCTATTGACTACTATTGAGTACTAACTCAAGTATACTGATACTTAGAGTATATATTTCAAATTAATCTTATAATTATCATAAAATGTTGTTCATATTTCAGATTGAAGTACAAATTCATAAAGAAGAGCCTTTGCCCGCTGGTTGGGCATTAGGACCTGACGGCAAGCCAACTACCGACGCCAAGGCTGTAAGATACTTAGCGCCTGAATATGTTTAATAGCAGTCGTACTGGAGCATATTGCTTTGATATTTTAGTAGTAAACGAGAGTTCTAAGCATTTCGTCTTGGATTTGTTTGGATCCACAATAGAATTTATTATAATAAAGATTATAAATAGATTGTTATAGTCACAAGAAAAATTCATCATTGAGAACTACCTACTTCATTTTGGTAATAACAAAATAAACCCCTCGTTAAAATATGAAGATCCTCTCGTATTCGGACTACTAATAGCATATCGTCTTTCATCAGGCGTTCCAAGCTGGTCGTCTGATGCCGCTGGGTGGGGAGGAGAAGACCAGTGGATACAAGGGTTATGCCCTCAGCGCCATGGTAGAACTCTTCTGCAGTGGATTATCAGGTATGAAGGATCTTCTATCTAGATCTAAAGAAAGAACTGTAAGAACCAGTAAGAACATTGTGAAAAGTATTAAATATTTATTTGTCATTTTCGATATTTTTAGAACCGATTTCTGATGGCTGTTTGTGTTTGTCGAACCTCTTAAATGGACGCAGTGGACGTTTACTGGTATTGCGATGTCAGTATGGATAGGTAGTCTTCTCATGTTCCTCCCTAGCCAATGCAGCTGGACCTTCGAGGTATAAAGCACCTCAGTCATATATGCATAGAACAAGACCTATTACTTATCAATTACAGGGTCAAATTCGACGCACAACATTCGTGGCTGGGAGTTGGATAGCATCCAAGGGCCACCAGATTTGGGCCAGTGTTTTGCTGCCATCAATCCTGAATGCTTCGCTCCTGGCTTCGGGGACAGAGCTGCTGACTGTCTCAACACCTGGAGGAACCTGGAGCCGGTATGTAGCTGGTGGATGCCGATGAAGTGATATGATTTTTGTAATTAAGTTGCAAACTAGTACTTATTGCCATTATTAACGTGGATGTTTGGATATTAACGTTAGGTATAGGTGCAATCCGCAATGCAGTTTTATTTAAGACTGTTCTGTTGATCGAGTCGTCGCAATCGATTCAACTAAGACAGAGGTGTGAAGTTAGATTCGAGAGTCGTACTAATTAATGAGCTTTTCGATGTTTGGCAATAAACCAGTCTTCTATTACAATACGAATTATAAATAGTATGCTTGTATTACATCCCATGTAATAGGCTCATCCCCTATTACTTGGGACTCATGACCTAAATAAATAGTGAAAAGTGGGTGTTACATTGTGAGTACAGTGCGTCATTAAGTGCCGTACTGTGCCCCTCTAGGCAGAGGGGTAGGCACCCCATCGAGGGTAAAAGGCGTGATGTTTTGTTACGTTATGCTTGTATTCCACCCAGAGCCATATTATCCCTAAGGAAAACTAGGCACGTGGCTAGGGCGCTAGGCTACAGAGGGACGCTGTGACGAGATGTCGTGAGACATGCGTGTGCGTCCCCATTGAGTTGCAATGACGTGTGGTACCAAGAAATAAGGGGCGCAGATGATGTGCTTGCCTACAGCACTCTCTAGGTTTAATCCCCTTCTGATTTAATACACCTGTATTTATAAAACATCTGCAATTGCAGTAGCAATAAACATAATAATATAGAGCGAAAAACCTTACAACTATTATTTATTTGTATTCTATTCTAGGTTGATCCATCCCTTCCAGTTTTGGCTCCAGGAGACAAAGAGCACCACATTGGAGAGGCGACTCTAGCCAAGGGAACTGTGAACTATCCTCAGAGGCAGTTAGAGGCTATGGAGACCATGGCTAAGAGGATCGGTGTGAAACCCATACAAGTTGTTTAGGGGTAATCCAAATGTACACGATTGTAAAAGCTGCTACATTATGTGTTACGGCGGGTTCGATTCTTGCACGGGACTATCTTTGTATGATCCCTAAATAGTGAGATTGTTGTGTGTAAATTTGTATGTTTGCAAACCCACTCATAAAACGGGAGAGTCCTAGTAATACCTATTTATATAAAAAGACAGTGTTGTTCTATTTTTACTTTTATTTTTGTCAAGAAGTCAAGCCTTCTTTACTTGTATGAAGGTGTTTACACATAAAATGTTAACCTTATTATAGTATTTTTATGTTAAAAACTGGTTTTGTATTCAGGAAGACGATAATGCGTAGGTTTAGTTACTTTGATGAGCAAAATAATAAAAAACAAGTTATATTCGGTCCATTATTAGTAAGGTTCCCATGAAATTAATTAAAATTGTTTACTGTTTTGACAAGTACCTTCAGGTGTGTTCTTATATTCGGGGCCTATAGGTACCTAGACATTAAATTAAATATTTGACGGTTATAAGTTAAATTCACAGCTGTATACCGAACTCCTAGACCTACTGGTAGGGTGAATTTTGACGCTGAAATATGTGAGAGGCTGGAGTCTGGAGGCGATTAAAACTCATATTAACGACGCCTAAAGAACCTATCTACTATCATTACTTATTTATTTATATCAAAATCATTAGTGTTATTCATTACTAAGCTACTTTTAACTAGTAGTCTAGTGGAATATAATGAAAGGGCAATATTTTATAAGCCTCCATCTTTACCATCTTTAAGCCCTTTACGTTAACCAAAGAGGTAGGTTGAAAGATGCATATATTTTCTACCTGGCTCTGCAACCATTTAAGTTATAATTAATGACTTAATTAGCAATCAGATATAAATAGCTCTCATTGCGTTAAATACAGCAACCTGCGTCAGCAAGACATTGATAAATATATCAACTGGTTTGTTTGTAGAAAAGAAGTTAAGAACCTTATTTATTTATTTTTTTTCTTCTTTGGCAACCGAGTCTCCAAAACGGTGTTGTCGACTATACTGCCAATGTCGAGAACCTTATATTAACTGGTGTTGTTAAGGTGACAGTTGATAAGTGAATTGTTGTGGTCCTTATGCCCGAATACTGAAACGTTACTCAATTTTAAGTCGCGCTTAAGCATAGTTCTGTCTCTACAAGTTCTTTGTAAAATGACAGAGACAGCACGATATTTAAGCACGACTTAAAATTGAGTAACGTTTCAGTATTCCAGCATAAGAGTCCTACCAACAACGGCAAGTATCAATTGACTTTTTCTGAGTCATATGTATTTTCTAAGATTATTTAGACACCGACCAACGATGAAGGAAAACATCATGAGAAAACCTAAGCTTATAATATCTAATTACAAGTTTGAAATTGCCAACGCGCATTGAGCAAGCGTGGCGATTAATGCTCAAACCTTCTCCGTGTAAGAAGAGGTCTTTGGTCAGGCAGTGACCACTTATAGGCTGTTGATAAGTGAACATCGCAAAATTGGGTCAGCTTGACTAATACCACGCCCTCACGGAAAACCGGCGTGAACCAACGCTTATACAAAAGGTTCATCTCAACAAAGGCCGGTATCGCACTTGAACTCCCCTAGTATAAAGAATATCTATGGATGGCACTGATCATATACCAATAAGTGATCCCCTATCTCATAAAAATTATTTGCATGCTGCACATTGACAGTTTTTTATTAGTATTAATATTCGGTATGTTCTTAATGGACACACGCAATTTGTTTTTGAATTCATTTCGTTAGCTGTTAGTTTTCCAAAGTTGTTAAATAAATCTTATTTTAAACTCTTATACACTTATATATAGCGGAATTTTGTTTTTTGTTTGTTTGTTTGAACGCGCTAATATCCGTAACTACAAGTCTGATTTGAATAAATCTTTTTGTGTTGGATAGCGCATTTATCGAGGATGGCTATAGGCTATAAAACATCATGCTACGACCAATAGGAGCTGAGCAGAGCGTGTGAAACCGCGTGGAAGTAGCTAGTAAATGATAAATTTGTATAAAAAAATTACATTAACTTTTTTTGTGCTCTTACGACTCAGTACCGTTTCGATAAGTTTAGTTTAGTTAGCAGTGTCATGCGGTTCATATCCGCAATACTCCTTTCCTTGTAATAGTACTTCCCGGTCAACGTGGTCATTTAGAATCAAATGCCACTATTCCAGGCGAAGCTGCAATAAAACAAACGGGATTTTGTGATTAGATGACGTTCGATAAGGGAATGTGTTAGAAAATGTATACAAGAAATGAAACAGTGTAATGTAGGCTGATGTGCCGGTTTTCCAAGCATTTCTTAGATTAGTATTTATATTCTTGTTAAACAATATAAAAGTAGAGACATCCGCCTTAACCACTAAGTGTATGGAATGAGACCAGTGTGCCCGACGTTCGCCTTGATACCCCCAGACCAGCCAGACTAGATTCCTTGCAATTTAATGCACTCACATAAAAAAACAGATAGGACACAGACTTGCCACGAAATTAAGTACTTTAAAAATATACTTTTTTTGATAATAGGGGTAAACGATCAGACGATCACCTGATGGTAAGCGATCAGTATCGAGCTGCATCAATATTATTCAATATAGTTGAATAAATGTTAGATTTAATTTTGTTGTATTATTTAGGGTTATATTATGCTTTCGGCAATACAGGAGTCATTGAAATCGGAACGTTTGTAGCATTAGAAAGACTTCAAGTTATACACGTAGATAATATAACGGATCCTGGGTCTGATCAGGACCGATATTCTACAGAATTGAGCTGCAATGTTTCATCAAAGAAGTTTATTGTTCTACGTTAGTACGTATTTAATTATTTATCACTAGCTACTGCAAACGGCTTTGCCCGCGTTCCCGGGTAAAAAGTAACCTATGTGTTAGCCCAGATCATATTCTACCTCTGTTTCAAATTTCATCCCGGTCCCTTCAGCCGTATGTGACTGAGTAACCATCATACATATTTTCACAATTATAATATCAGTTCAAGCTAATTTCAACCATCGGCCCTACAGTTACAGCGTTAAGTCCACTGCGGGCAACCTAACATTCGACAAACTAATATTTGCGTCTAGGCATTAAGCCGCACAATTAAGTTTGTTTGGTATAAAGTACCCAGTATTGTGCCCAGGATATTAAAGTATGATCATTCCAAGTTTCATCGTAATCGGACTGGTAGTTTTTGCGTGATGCGTGAACATACGGACATACATACAGACAGACAGACAGACAGAGAAACAACAATTTTTATTCACAATTTTGGGTGCGGTGTCTAACTTGTATTATTTTTTTATATTTTAACGTACGGAATTTACACTTTTAATGTTTTATTATACAGTTATATTGTATATATGTATAAATTATTGCGATTGCATTTTCCTAAGGCATCTACCTACTATGCACAATAAACAAGCGTTCGTCATGTATGTACCTTGTACAACTATTTCCGTAATTATTATTTTTATAACGACCGGAATGAAATCTTATTTATACGACTGTAAGTATATAATAACACTATTGTTAATTTATTTCATTACCGGTAGTTGCATTGTAATTATAAATGAGATAAAACAGTAATATTTGAAGGCAAACCAGAAATAGATAAATGTGTATTTTATAATCAATTTTGATCATTGTTTCTTTTTAAAGAGTATATCCAGTAGCCTAGTACTCCCTCTAGTGGTTGTGAACTGGAACAAACATCCAACAACTCAAATAAATAAACATCGCAATTAGACCAGGGAAAACAATATTTTGTGGATCACACAAAGAGTTTTGATCCCGCGCAGCACCAGCCACAGGGCCAACTGTGTAGTCTTGCATTAAATTACTGATTAATACTTAGTTTTATTTATTTGATTAAACAAAGGTTTCTTTTTAAAGATTATATCTAGTAGCCTAGTACTCTCTCTAGTGGTTGTGAACTGGGACAAATATGCAACTCAAATAAACCTCTCATTCATACACCGAAGAACATTTTGTCTCACACTTTGATTGAATTATTCCCGCGCAGCATAAGCCATAGCGCCAACTGTGTAGTCTTGCATTAAATAACTGATTAATACTTAGTTTTATATATTTGGTTAACGAAGGTGTATTTATTGAAATAAAAATAAAATAATGACATTTTAAATAGGGTACTGCGCTAAAAATATCACAACTGTGTAATGTGTTGCATACTTATATAGGGAATGGATAAAATAAAAAACATTTTGAAATGAAAAACAAATTTATGAACAAAAAATGTGAACTTATATTAATTTGAAGTTCATTGATGTGTGAGGCAATTTAAAAATGAATATGTTAATTAATTTTTTTTATAAAATAAAAATGTTGTTTGAATTTTTGACATTTGGATGAGACGGACATTTTTTGCGAGAAGTTAAATTATAATATTAACTCGTCGAGTACCGGTTTTGTAGACACAATTATAGAACAATAGGTTGCGGTCACCGGTGACCGCTTGGTGTTTGACAGTTTAATATTGCAACATGACATCTTACACGAGAGATATACATGGTATTAAAATATTATTGTCCAGTCATTTTAAGAAGAAGTTAAAGAAAATAGGAACCTATTGCCATATACATACATTATACATTCTAGCTTTCCAGCCTCTCGTACTATATGTACTGAGACTTAGGCACACTAGCTAAAAGCACCTTATCTATAGGCGCCCACTTTTTGGACCGTTGGACAAGTGTGGCTTGCGGCGTCCCTCTGTAATTTGGAGCCCTGGGCACTTGCTTCGTTTGCCTTAGGCATAATATAGCTCTGCTGACACTATTTCGTATCTGTTATCATTATCTTGATCTATGGCTAACTGCATTTGTACCTAACGAACGGTAAACTAAACGCATTTACCTTGTTTAGTAATCTTACCTCTTAGGGCTTGTACACAAAACTGCGAAGAGATGCGATGCGAATTCGCAACGCAAAAAATTACGATACGAATTACTGCGATGCGACTTCGGGTGACAAGACGTCTCCCAGGGTAACCATTCCTTTAAGGATTGTTAACCGTAGTAAACGTATTTTAAATTGAAAACTCGGTCGTGACATGGATCGTAAAAAGAAGTGTGCACTTCTGTTATTGCTTAGAAGATACAGGAAAAAGAAACAAAGAAGATTTTGGGAAGATAAGATGTTGATGCCCGATGTAAATCAATTCGCAAGTTCTTGCAGTGCGTAGAGGGAGCTCGCACAATTTTGCGATGCGATATCGCAACGCAGCTTTGTGTATGAGCCCTTACCCATTAGTTATACGTTCTTGGCAATGGTTTTATCAATGCACGCCTACTTGCAGGACACTTCACACTCAGAGCTAGTTTAAAATCTGCATTTACAACGCTGTTTCTAAGTCCAATTTGAATAAATTATTATCTAAGTTTGTTTACTGTTAATCCTACATTTGTTTGCTAGCATTTCTCTTGTGACTTTGTCCGCTATTGTCGGGTTGAAAGGTCTAGTTCTGTTGTTTGTTATCAATGTTGTAACTATAAATATTATTTAATCTCTAAATCTGTGCTGAATGGTAGCCAGGATGGTTTAGTATCCTTAGATATTTAAATAGATCTCAATATTTTCCAAGTTTTTTAAAAGTTGTCCCATGTTATCAAAAAAATGTTTGAAAGACTGAAAACAGTCTAGATTCTTTTTTTACGTGATAAGCCGAATAAACGAGCAGACGGATTACCTGATGGTAAGCAATCGACGTCGCCCATGGACACATGGAACACCAAGGCGTTACAAGTGCGTTACCGGCCTTTTGGGGATTAGAAATTTGAGGATTGTTGGTTATTCAGGGATTGGGAAAGTGGGGGGGCCTCCGATAACCTCAATCACACGACGAAACACAACGCAAGCGTTGTTTCACGTTCGGTCGGCCGTGGTATAACTCCGGTCGAGCCGGCCCGTTCGTGCCGAAGAATGGTTCTCCCACACAGTCATTTGAGAGTCAGACTTAGACTTAGTCCAGATATTGATCAATAAACAATTGATTTCGGTTAATATCTTAAAGTTAACTGCCAAATCAAAGTCAGAAGTTTATTTCAATAAAAGTTTTAACTCGTCGAGTACCGGTTTTGTAGACACAATTATA